GTATCATTTCTTTGTTTAACGGTTGCCCACGAGAAGACACATGAAATAGATACAACGCAAACAAACAATTTTATTCTTGATAGAATGACACGGGGTCTGAAATGGGCAAAACATTACGCCCAAGGGGATTAGATCCATTTACAAAATATACCTGTTTATCTAAGGATAATCTTTTACTGGGCCTTCTATGAGGAATAAGTTATATACATTAAATTAAACTATATGATAATCAAAAATCTTGCGATATGTGTTATGAATAATATGGAAATAAAAGATGGAAAAAAACCATGCCCATAACCTTAAAGAGAAAGATATATGATGGGCATCCATCCAATAATATACATATCATTAATCATATCAAAAGCTTTATAGAAGTCCATCAGGTTAAGTCCATCCATTGAATTGGCCTCTTTCATTGTTACTAAGCCATGATCCACTAGTTTAACAAGAGCAGTTTCACAATATTAGTTGGGTCGAAATCCCGAATGAGCTGTATACAGCTATTTCAAAAGAGGTTGAAGGGGAGAACGGCGATAGGTAAGAAGCGATAAGTGGTAGGAGATAGGTCATTCCAAATGCAAGAATAGAAAGCATGGAATGACTTGAATTTCTTATCATTATTCTTGTTGTAGAGATATTTAGTGTTCACATAGTCGACGAAAACATTTAAAACGCCTGGATTATTCGTGTTTAGATGCATGCCCACAGTGCCTTTTGGTCGTGCAATCGCCAATCTCCGATCGCAATTTGTTTTGCCGTTTGCCCTTTCAAAGTTTTTCGAAATAGCTCTATAAATCCTGGAGTTTAAAGAGAATTTGTTTGCGGCAAACACGAAAATAAGCACAACTACATGTGTACGCCGTTTTCAGTCATGGTACAGAGAAAAATATAGAAAGAAGAAGAAAGAAGTCTACTTAAACCAGATATCAAAGAAAGAAGCACCTTACCTTTTGAAGCATTTCTTTCTAGAAATACGCCAGACAACCAAAGATAATAAGGGCAAAGAATATAAGCCAGTTTCTCTTCAGACGTATCGCAACGGCCTGCGAAGGTTTTTCCTTGAACGGCCATGTCCTCCTTTCCCCGACAACTTCGACATCGATAAAGAACCAGATGTAGAGTTTGAAGAGGTCGCAACAATGCTGTCAATGAAGAAAAAAGATCTCAAGAAGAAAGGCTTAGGGACAAAACCAAATGCTGCCAGGTCGTTAGAAGACAATGAAGTCGAGAAAATGAGGTCTTCAGGTGCTTTAGGCTTGCACACTTCAAGATCTCTCCTCCATCTTGTTTGGTGGAATAATGTCACTCATCTGGGAATGAGGGTTTTCAAGAGCAGTACGACTGTACATTTGATGATTTTACCATCACAGAGTACTTCATAGAGTACAAAGAGCGCCAAACCAAGAACCGCCAAGGAAACGAGAATAGCAGGAAAAGAACAAGAAAGTACAACAATAAAATCTGGAGGACCAATGGCGGCGAACGCGATCCATACCGTGCTTTTGTTGAGTACTTGGAGCATCGACCAAAAGGTGAACAAGCCCCAAAAAATCTGTTCTTAAGTCCAATTGACAAGCCAACATCTAAAGTGTGGTATAAAATGTCACCGGTTGGAATAAACACCTTGTCTAAGATGATGAAGAAGATTGCCGACATAGCTTCCCTAGAAGGCAAATGTACGAATTCGTGTGGCCGTAAAACAGCAATCCAAGCCTTGCGAGAAGATTTCGGCCCGCTTGAAATTTCAGAATTGACTGGCCATGCTAATCCAGAATCGATATCGAGTTACAGCCATAACCCATTGGAAAAACAACGCAAAATGTCCCACAAGCTGGCTGGATTTTCTCCTTGCAGTCAAAGTAGTAGTACGGTCAGTACGTCAGTAGTTGAAAGTTCAAGATCACCAGCAAGAAATACTTTGAATGAAATATCTGCCAATGTAGAAGGTCAGCAGGCGAACCAAACAAGTAAAGCTGCCGAAGCCCCTTATAATGGTCTTGGGTTGAGTGGAGCCGTAAGTGGACTGTTTACCGGAGTCACATTTAACAACTCACCCGTAAATATTTCCATCAATCTACAGGCTGGTGTCCATCGCTAGCTCTTTCTTCATCCAACACTAACTGAGCAACACAACAGTAGAATAAGAAAAAGGAATTTACTTATTTTGATTTCATTTAGTCTATTTAGTCTATTTAGTAATTGAATGTGTAATTCAGAGAAAAGTCTTAAAAGTTTTGTGTACTCACCAGTTAGCTTCTTTGTTTTGCATGACATTTTCGCACATTTAGACTGCTGAACTGCGTTAGATTTCGATCAAGACGAGAAAAAGTCATTATTGTTGTAACAGATTAAACGAAGTATTGTAGCGAAGGCGATTTTTGAGAATAAACAGTTAGTTTTTTCCAAAGTCGAAAATATTATTCTCTTGCCACGAGGTTCAAACCAAAAGATCAAACGCTCACCTTTGAGCGGAATTCCTATTGGTTGGGAGGATGGCATCAGAATGGTTTCCTTCGTGGGCCAAGGTTTTCTTGAACTCGCACGATTTTTTTCGTTTTTCTTCTTTATATTCGCTTAGATTGAATAGTGTCATGGGATTCAAGGAGAATTCATTGCCTTCACTCGGGAATTCCAAGTTGAATTCACTTGAAAAGGCGATGACGCACTCGTTGCTTCGCGACTCATGCGATACCGCCTTTTCTCGTGAATTCAACTTGGAATTCCCTCGTCAGCCAATGAATATTCCTATAAAACACCACCTCTTAGCCTCTTACTCAGACGTTCTTAGTGTATATTGAATGACAGACCTTAAGAATGTAGAATATGAAAAATACAAAATAATGAATTGAGATGAATTATTTTCTATGCAAGATAGGTGTGATCTGATTTAATCAATATGGAGGGTTTTAGAATCAAAATATATAACAATATTTCTATTTAAATTCAGCTATGAATTTTTTTATTTTGTACGATATTTTATATTTTTATTTGACAACGTTCTTGTATCAAGTATTTAGTGATTATAATATTATCATTCTAAGTCAGTCACCGTTAATATGTAAAACACCGCGAAACCATGCATTTAATACTTTAGTATATTAATGATATTGTATGAAAATGATTCCCAAAGCAAACGACAGTTATATTTGGGAAAGAGGATTTTCATATTTTTGACAATGACAATGACAATGACAATGACAATGACAATGACAATGACAAGGACTTTATTTTTTTAGCAACAAAAAATTACAATTTGATTATGAATATACGATGAAAATAACAACATGCTTGGAACTTCTGCTCTTGACATTCTCGGAACGCTAAAAACGCGCATAGCAACTACTCATCTATTTATTCCTTTGTCTAACAATCATCTTTCATTCCTTTATAGGACGTTTGCACGATGGCGTCATTGACCTCTACTACCAGACTCCCTTGCACACTTTCTTTTGTTCAGTTAATTAGCACAAATTGTCTTACTATTCTCATGAGGGAATACAAATTTAAAYAAGAAAGCATCTTGGTAGTAGGAGGCAAATGACGCCATCATGCAACCTTTATAATTCCATACTCTCAGTAGTGAAGATTTCTTACGGCTAAAAAGTGACAAATCCGTGAAAGTGAAACAATCTGTGAAAGATACTCAAAGCTTAAAAAAGTGGCGGTCGTACTTCTTTTTTCACGACATGTGAAATATAAAGCATAGCTAGAGATTTTYATAACACAGATGTACTGTGTGGAATTCTAGTAATATATATAATACAAATAATAACGATATATAATATATTGCTATAAGTATATACTTATTACTGAATAGATAACTAACAGTTGCTGTCACTCGAACATTCATTGCACAAACGACACAAATGATATCTTGTGAGTGTTGTCTTTGTATAATGAATGTTCTGGTTGAATAATAGCAACTATTAGTCACTATTTTTCAGTATCCACTTTGTTCTCATTTCATGGTTTTACTGCATGTGCTCTATACTTACATAAATCAGAAAAAGAAACACACACACACACACAAAGAGAGAAAAAACACAGAACAGTACAACCTATTAACTTTAAAATACATATTTCTTTTTGAATTATAACTCATGTTCATCTCAAATACATATTTCCAAATACATATTTATGTTTGAATTACAACACAAGTTGGTCATTCTCCCTTTTAGCTTGCATGAAAATTAATAATCCTCCCAATGCCCCTCTAATAAATGATCGTGTCACGAAGTCAGGGAACTATTTGGCTATCTACGATGGTCTAAAAATAACAAGAATTCCAATTTTTTCAAATTTTATACTATCTTTATCCAAATAGCTTGCCTCGATTAAGTCCATTAAAAAAGTGCAAACAAGTAGATCATAACCACACCAATCATAGCCACGATCACCGCTACACAACACACCTTTACAACTCTAACTTCTCGTGCTATTTTCCTCCCCAACTCGGTTTCGTTTAAGAGAAAGGGCAAAAATTCTCCTGAGACATTCAAATGTGGAAATGGCTGGTCTGGGGTCTTCTTGCCAGTAAACTCACACAATGGTTCCCATCCTTGTTTAACACTGTAGACAAGCAGCTTGTCTGCAGGAACTACAGACTTGACTCGATCGTTGTGACAGCGATATCGCTTGCGACAGATGTATGATGATTTTGGATCAAGAGTCCCTACGTTTGCCATTCTTGACTTACCAATAATTAACCAAACTTTATTTAATGTTGGAAGCAAACATTTTATCTTCATTATGAGGGAATTCTCCATAATTTCGTTGTGTTTTTTATAACTTCTGATCCAAGTGTCTTCATCTTCTCGCATAGAAAGAATTACTTTAGCGTCAGGAAATGCTTCCATCAGTTCTTCAAAGAGAAACTGGGACGGGCTACCGACCACAGCGTCTACATCTTTAAACATGGCATAGAAGTCGGGTTCCCTACCATGTTTGAAGAAATCTAACCACTCTTTCATATAGTACAAAACGTTTTCATCAAAATCGTACACTTCGTAGTCTAGAATTCGCAGTGCACGGGCGAGGGATTTGGTTCCCGTCTTGGGCAGACCGGCACAGATCAGCTTCATGTTGGTCAGTAGAATTGTGTCGTGGATCAGAACTAAAATCAAGCGTTTGTATCAAGGGTTATTACATACGCAGCTGCTATTCGTGTCGTTTCGCGACGCTACTACATACCTAGATAATAGGTTGTCTTGCATCAGTAAGAATTTTCGAATGAAATTGTTTTGTTAACTTTTTAGCAGCTTTTTGGGTCCCGACTATGTGGGTGATTCAACACATTTTGTCATCCCTAGTAGTATACAAATATGAGTTCTGCATCACGGGCCCCGTCGGGCTACCCCGGGCCCGTAGGGAGAGGAGGTGTTCTACATCATTGAGCTCTGGAACCGCTCCGGAGCAAAAGGAGACTACTTTTTTATCTCCTGCTGATTCGGCCGGATGATGTCATGATTTCTTTTGATCATCGATCATTTGTATTTTATATTAACGAATTAGTTCACTATCGAYATGATGAAAAATAATTCCCTCATTATGTTTAATTCGCGTGGTTTGTTATTTTTTATTCATGCTATGTCTTTTTTCGTTCTCATTATCTTYTTATCTGCCTGATTGCCAGTTGGATTCACCTCAGTGCAGCTCTCGCTGCGATATATGCAAATAATGAATAAACGTCATGCATCATGAGAAGTTTGATTATATTATATTTATTTCGATTTGTGAGAAATGTTTGACCATATTTTAGTCATACTCGAAATTTTCGCCCAAAATCGTAAATTATGGCCTCGATTCTGCAGTTTGCGGCAGAAGATCATGCAGACAATGATTATCATCCTGGACGTGAATTTGTTAGACTTGCTTTATTGTTCATCATATTATGTGTAACATATTGTCGAGGTTCGCTGAATGCAGTAAATATTGACCACAAGTGTTTTTCACTCAAGTTTCTTTATGCTCTACCTCTAACTTCTCCTACTAAAAATAAATGCTGGAAATGCTGCTTTGCCTGAGCTCGGTTTACTGGGCTAAGTAGACACTGATTAAGGATTGAACGGTAAGGACTATGGGTTAAAAACCCAAAGCCGGTTTATTAAGTCAATAAGTTCAATGAATTAATTACAATACGCACACAGTGACAAATGGGCAAGGCTGGGAGGGAAAAAGGTCATGTTCGCGGAGCGAACTCACAGTTCGACCGCCAACCTCAAACAATTGAATGTTAGCACTGCCGATCAGACCGAAATGATCGTCAACGCGAGGATCGAAGCGTGCAGAAAGATCAGCTTTAAGCCGACGTACAAATGAATGACCCAAAATGAGGACATTTGGAGCTAATAACTCCATAATATAAAGTAAGCCTTACCTTTTAAACGTTATAAAACAGCTACGAAAAAGCTACCAGTTGATGGATTGGATGTTCGGGTCAACTGTGTTCCCAAGGTTACATCACGTGAACAAGGCCAGTAAACATAAAAGGGGGGCCTTGTTCACGTGATGTATGTCCGCTGACCATAAACACATGACTGCTATCATATATCAATAAATGGCAACCATATAGCCATAATTACTATAAAGCATTAATTATATTATAAAAACATTAACAAATGGAAGTTAGAGGGAGCATAAAAATCCTATTCGCTAGCAAATATTCCATTTATTTTGCATATACAACTTTATTGGTTTACAGTTTAGTTATTACCAAGGAACAACGCCAAACACGTTTTCTAAAAAAGAAATTGAAATTTATTCATAAAACTCTCAATGCATGTGAATACAAAATAAGTTTAGTTACAGCTCTTTTCATTATTTAACTAAATATGATGTTTTGATTGTCAGTATACAGTATATTTCTTCACCCATCACGTGTAACAATAGAGGACTATGTTCTGCATAATTGCCGAGTCAATCTTACGAATTACCTACTAGATATCAAGACCACGATCTACTCTTTCTCAGTTTTACAAAACAAACCGTCCATCCAATTAAAAAAAAAAAAAAAAATTAGTGCAAATTTCTTATTCACTAATGAGTTCAGCCAGGTGTGGACTTTCAGGCTAGGTACATGCCAATAGACGATAGCTTGATAGCTGATAGCCTAGCTCTATATATAGTGTAGATCCTAGTGTAGATAGTAGATCTAGTATAGGTTATAGTGTAGATTCTAGTGGATTGACATCCACCCTAAGCGATTTTAAATTAATATGAAGCGGATGGATGACTCAAGGCTAGCGATATTACATTTCTTTTATTACTTCACAACTGTGGTTAGTCATTAGCCATATTCTATTCGGCAATGGCTCGGACTGTGGGTTCGTCTTCTTGTAGTTTTATCCACTTCACGCTACCTGTAGATCGGTGCCTTATCTTGACAGCCCAATAGTTTTCTCCATCAATGTAGACACCGGGATGGTTAGGATCTGCACTGTTACGCGATGTTCTATACATTTCTATAATATCGTATCCTTCTGCAATGTTTCGCAATGCTGGTGCTCCCGAGATGTAGTTTTGCCACACGGGGATAGCTGCATTCGACCAGATTATAGGACGATGTGCGAGTTTAGGTCGTTTTCTTTCTGGCTTTGTTTCGGTGCCAAACACTGGTGCTGACTCGACACTACTGCTCACCTTAATGTTTGTCTCCAAGAACTTGCTTATCGGCTGGGTTGTCGGGTTTGTTATCCACTAATAAGTATCCAAATGGCTTTTCGGTCTCTCTGTGGTAGGCGGACATAAATTGGTCTCTATTCTTATCAAACATTCGCTCTCCGACGATTCCAATTTGTTTTCTGTCACTAGGGCTTCGGAAGAGAGCAAGATATTGGGCATATGTCTAATAGACTAATGTCTATATTAAATTTTCCCTTAGGAAACATGTTCTGAAGCAAGAAGATAACACTAGCGTTTCTATGGCGACCTTGAGTAAATAATCGAGCTACTACAGGACTGTCTGTCGCTTCGGCCATCAGATCATCCAGTATGTTTATGTTGTTGTGCTTGGGATTAATCTCACTCAGATCAGTCGGACAGCTCGATCGGGTAATSCTCTTCCAAATTGAATTCTTTTTCCAAGGGATTTTTTCAAGACATCGTAAAGATCTTGCCATTGATTATAGCACCAAAGAATACGGATATTTTTCTGCTCTTCATACACGATACGATTCTTTTCTAAAATCTGTTGGACGAAATAGGTTTTACCACACTGAGTGGGACCCACTACCAAGAGAGAAAATTTATGGCGGAGGTTGAATTCTGGATAGGGTGTAGTAGTCAAAGACAGCCGTACTTTTGGAGTTTTTGTTGATTTGGGTACAGAGCTTGTTATCTTTTGAACTACTTGCTGGCCGTGCCGGTAGCAAGCTCGAGATGTGGTTTTGTAGTAGTGAGAACCTTGCCCTTCCTAACCATTTTTTCCTTTCATCCCCATATAGATTATGTTTCTTGACGTAAATGATCACTCATAAACTTAAGATTAGGCTTGTTACAGACAGGACAGTCTCTTTTATGCTTATAGCGGAGCCCTATACTTAAGAAAAAATGGTAAATCATCGATTTGATTTTTCATGGTTTGGCTGACGTCACTTCCGTCCGTACGTCCGTCCGTCCGTCCGTCCATCCGGGCGTGTACACAACACAGGAATCCCGCTTGATATCAAAGCAAAACTACTCACAAATGCGGCTCTCAAATGCACAGAAAAAATCGCTTTA